CTGTAGAAAAGGTAAAAACTTTTTGTTCAATAAAATATCCTATTTTGTAACGAAAATCTCTCAAAACCCAAATTGTTATAACCCAAGAACACGGTTATACAGAACAAATAATGTTCACATCAACTTTTTATTACCATTACTTTGACGCCCCTACTTCACACCGGAAGTCGTGCCCATATATTACGAAACGTGGTACATAGAAAGAAAATGAACGCAGCAGTGCAATTCCGTTAGATACATCGTATCTCGGCGTGTTGTCACATAATTATGTGACACGATCCCGCTTCCTACGCAGCCCAGACATTACCGATCCGATGATGAGAAAAGCCCCAACACGTTCGAGCGGCTTTGCGCAATTTTTTTTTTTTCGTGGTCTCGGTGCTCGTGCAACCACACAGCGGCGTTAATAAGGTGTTAGCCGGGGCCCGGCGCATAATCGAGGAACACGGAGCATAGGATACGACGTTGCAACAAAGCGACGGTGACGGGTACAGACGAGCCATATCCGGGACGTCGGCCAATAAAATTAATCGCTTTTGCTACACCGCCTGAATAATTTATGCTCGCTGCCGTGTCTAGGAATTGGCCGATGATCGTTCAGGACCGTCGTTCCGTGGCGTTCCGCTTGCGACACATAGTTTTACATGGAACACGAACGCTCATTTGTATTCGTCCGCACCACGAAAAATCTCGTCGTCGCGGATGAAGTGAACTGTATTTTTCGACGGTGCCTTCCGCAATTGCATTCGAAGTACGAGGAGAGAAAAGCATTTGATTGTGGCGGTAAGAAATGCGATGTCAAATCGAATAAAATTAAATATATATGGGATATAATCCCAGATAGCACCGTACATTCTAAGGACGTCCGTAACATGTCCAGTTTATATCCGAATGTCCTACGTCCATTTTGGACATCTCTAGGACATTCGTAAGACTTAAATTTCGGATGTTCTAGAAACGTCAGTACATAGGACGTTTTTGTGCTGTATCAATGCGTGTATTCTAAAGAACAAACAACGCAAATCAAATCCGAACGACACCGCTGATAGACTAATAGAATACCGAGACGGATCGACTACTGTATTTAAAACTATAGGATTGATTGGAAAATGCTCAGAAATTTAGCAACATTACAGTTTGTCGTCGTCTCTAATCCGTCCTATTTCTACAAAAGTGACAAAAGTAATGCCGATGACCATGCGTCATCGGAATCGTAAAGGCCGTCGAGGTGCCAATTGGAAGATGCTTCCGCGTTGCGTCTTCACCGCGCCGGGGAACAATGCTTTCCCCGGGCGTGGCATGCATTATTCAACGCGCCAGGAAAACCGCTTCAAGCCGCGTGGAGGCGCAGCAGCCTCTTCCTCGGTGAAGCGTCCCCGTTTTTCTGCAGAACTCTTTGTCGACTTCCCAACACCAATTACGTTTTAAAAGGAATACGCAAAAAGCGTTACAGACTAATTATTCGTCACATTCTACGTGAAATAAGATTTCTTGTACAGTTACCGGCATCGATGATAATTAAAGTTCAACCCTTTCGCTGAATGTGTTTCTCCGCTAAACAAGCACTCATCCATTGCGTCTACGTAACCTTAATTAGCGGGTTTCGATTAGACGGTTTCAATAATCACGTCTTGTAAATGTGTTCTATAACCCTTAACGAGAATATCCGCATGGAATACGCAACACCTAATGTACATATTTAGATGCATTTTACCTTCATTACAGATTCAATTTCCGATGTTGGACCCTGAAGGTCGTCGAATGGAAATATAAAATTCAATCAACGGGTCTGCATTAATAATTTCATCGTTGATGGAAAACAACGATATTACGAGCAAGATTTAATTCTGCAACTGTCAGACGATTCTCCTTTGTTGCATCGTTACATTTACCAAAGGTGAGATCATCCGTTAGCGATCGCTCGCCCTCTTTCACGACCATGCATCTGTGTCTGTGTGTGTGTGTTTCGCCGACATCGAATCGGCGGAGTATTACAAACACCTGCTGCAATTTTGCTGTAATCCACGTGCACTGGTACGTCTGTTTTTCCACGTCATCGGTAGTAACAGACGTTTCTCAGTTAAAACCATCGGCCGTTGGCTCTTTGAACTGAACAGAGAACCCGGTCCCCCCCCCCCCCCCCCCCCCCCCCCCGCATCCCCATTATTTTGACACGGCCGTACACGGCCGTGTATTAGCCTGAAACGCGAAATCAGTTAAATTATCGCCGCATCAGTCGCTGTAATTATATAATAACATTATGCCTGTTCACGGAGTCGCGTTGAAACGCTCCGCGGTATGTGGTCGATCAATCTGTCAGCTGCTGCCGAGTGACTCGTGGTAGTCGATTTTATCGAATAGACGAACCTTGTGTGCAAAAATGGAAGGGGAAGCTCTCTATTAACGTGTATCGTGTAATCTACTGAAACAGTATGTTGGTTCATCAGTTTACTTTTAAGCAAGATACATTAACCCTCGAACTCGAGGAGGGTGGTATTTTATGTTACCGTAATAGACATGCCCAAATAAACGCGGGCAACGAAAATTAATACTGTATAAGAACAATAACGGTAGAGCTAGTGATATGGTAAATAGAATCGACTCGTAGTTTCAGAAATCCGTTCGATTTTTCTTCAGATTCTGTCGTTAGTCCGCGGAAACGCATGATATTTTCGTGCAAATTGGTACAGTAGCTATCAGGAACAAGATTAGCCGTTAAACAGGCAGCGTTTAGCTGTATACTCATAAATCAAATGGAAGCGACAAGCAATTATAATAACTATCGCCGGCTATAGACACATAAATAAAATACTGGAACCCCTCGGCTAGGTAATGAGGCGTGCGAAGCGGGATGCGAACCAGTTTCTTGACTCATTAATCGTGAACACGGCCAAGCAGAGAGAAAATGCTTTCACGAAAAATGTCCTCGCGAGACTGTTGGGGGTTGGCGAGTGTCATTTTGCAAGGAGCAAATTGAATTCCACCTTCTGAGGGTTGTATTTACTACCTTACTTAGTAATCGTAAGATAATGTTTTGAACTTGAATCTAATTCTAATTTCAGAAATGAGAAATTTTGCAGTATTTAGATAATAGTTACAATCAGTGGGCAAAAGTGCAAAACATAACATAGTCAAAATGTTCACAGAGATTAGTTAGAAATGTTACTTCGCTTTAAACCTAACGAAACCTTCATTAATAAATTAATTTATAAACATCTGAATTTGCATAAAGATGTACGGTCTAGTGATATTACCCTCTAAATCGCAAAAACTTAACCGAGTATATTTTATCACGATATCATCTCAGTAATAAAAAGTTGGGCATTCAATATGTTCAATGAATGAGAAACAAAATTTGTTCAAATCCGAAAACAATTTTCTACTGTGTTTCCGTGTTGAATTTAAATTCTGAAATTTAACGCGGTTGTTGTACACTATACCCCGTATACCATGAGATTAACGATATCGTGGTAGTATTCCGGTAACTAGAGCGCACCTGACGAGTTCTCGGAACAACGTTCCACGTAGTACTTCGTTCCAGGTAAAAACGCATCGATGAGATTTCCACGTTGCTTGTCTCTCCTACCAGTATTCAAACAGAAGCCCATAAAGTCTCAAGGTCACGGATACCTCACTGTCACGCCAGAGTTCGAGCTGAGTTTCGAATTTCACTCTAACAAGCACGAAAGAGCTGGTTCGAGGAAAAGGGTGAAAAGAACGCGAAGTCAGAGGCAAGGGGGTAGAACTCGGTAATTGTATAATAGACGATAAATCGTCGATACGTCCATTGCGATCGAGACAAAATATAACATGAAGGGAAGTTGTATATCAAAACGATAGTAGATTAGAAGAATGAACGCGGAAGATATGAAAAAGAGTGAAAAACCAGAAGAAGAAGCAGAATTACAGTGAACATCAGCGCAGGCGGAGTGAGAACAAAAGGTAAAAGAATAAGTGAATATCTGCGATCCAGGAAAACAAGAAATGTACGGTATAGTGAAGGAAACAGGATAAGAACGTTGAGTGAAGTGAAGGAGCAAGAAATAGAAATACAAGGTAAAGAAGCATGAAAAACCAGTAGGCGTGGAGTGAGACTAAAACGGAGGGAAGAGGAGGGAAGCTAGAGGAGAGGAAGAGAGAGGAAGAATGTAAGAGGGAGGCCAAAAGTACATCGTGCGACTCGCGGACCGCCATAACCTCTTATCAGTTATCTAATTAGCCGTTGCATTTAATTAACGAGCCGAGGAGAGGGCAGAGAGATAGCCCCGGCAACGTGCGAGACCGACGTACGGTTCTGCATGCTCGTACGTAATTTTAATCGGTGCTCATGTCAGATAACGAAGGGTCGATGGATGAACCGGGCATCCGCGCGGTTGCAATTAGCCGTGTTTTTATTTATTCGAGTGTCTGCGTCTTCTTGCTCCATTCAAAGAACGAGGGAAGGGAGAGAGTTTTAACGATGCCACGGAACCTTCACGATGAAACCGAATGTTAGTTCTCTGTCTTTTTCTTCGTAATTGAAACCCGTGACTCGTATTACAGCTGTGAAACAAATGATTCTGCGATTGAAAAATTAATCTGTATTGACGTAATTATCATGACATAATTGACGGAGCTCAAAATTGCTCCCGTGAAAAAAAAATGGAAAATGTGACTTGTGTTTTTTCCCTGAGGTCTTCGTACGTAATTGACGATCAGCTTAGTCGCGGCGAAAGGTTTAGAACACCGTGAGAAATCGCAGAAACCAATGGTGACACAGAGGGTCTGGTTCTACAATTTTGCTTGTAGGTACCATGACACGTCGTTGTCATTCTGAGCGCCGCCGCGATCGATTTTGTAACGGTACGGAAAGAATAGAATGGAAGGACGGACAGCGGTACACCAGCGGCTGGAGGTGAAGCGGCGTTGCTTTTGCAGAAGCGATTTCACATCGCCGCCGATCAACGCCGCGGCCGGCGAAAAAGAAAATGTTTGCGTAACGGTGGACGGGAATGACTTACCTTCCCCGGATCCTCGATGAAGCCGCCGATGGTCATCACGTGTAGGGTTACCTCGCGCGTGTTCTCCAGCTCCTCCGCCGTGGCGAACAGGCCTTCGCTGACGAAATAGGGTTCAGGGCACGTGAGCCTGCAACATGCCCGAACGATCGACAAATTAGATAATGGAACAGGAATGTGTTAAGTTGGCATCCTCCGATGGCGAAACCTCGCTAGAGCCGGCTGAACTCTATGTAAACCCCCGCAACGTACCAGATAACGTAATTAGCGTTGTGTAACCTGATGTCGAACCAGTTCCTCTTTGTGCATTTCATTGATATTGCCGCGCAGAAACGCTGTCTTCGACGTTGTTCCGTACCATCCCGTCGCGGGAATGTAATTTCCGTGCGCTAATACGACGTACAAGTTGGGGTTTCGTACATTGAAATCGAAATTTTGCGTAGGTGGAGTTCCCCTAGCCCCGAACACCGCCTAGTATCGGACGTTAGCTATGTATACGTTTGACAACTGAAACGCGAGAGAGTTAAAGAACAGAAAAGAATCTTGGGAAATCAGTTTAAAAAAGACAGATAGACCAAAGGAGATAAAGATCACCAGAGCACTGACACTGAAAACCGCAAACAAAGATACTGTCTGTGCAGTTTGCTTAGAGAGTCATGATACAGACTGGATTCAGTGCTCAAGCTGCCAAGGCTAGGCTCATGAGGCATGTTCCGATATGTCAGAATGTTCTCATGATTACATTAAATATATAATATCAATATATCACAAATTTTGTGATCTTACTTATTTTTGCTATGTTCGGTACTAAGTGCCATTCAGTGTTACTTCAAAATCATATACCAAAGTTTAATGTTAATTTCATTTAAATATTATGACAATATTGGTTATTCTGTTCTTTTACTTTGATTTCTATGGTTATTAACAGAAACTATCGTATATCTAATTCTATACATTGCGCATAGTTCACTAACTACCTTACCTTTCTCTAATGCAAATAAAAACCGTTACAGCAATTTCGGCGCCAGAAATTTTTTCCCCCGGTAGTCGCTGTCAATTAGAAGTGGAGTGTGAAAATTAATTACCATCCGAAACCGGTCCCGTAACGAAAATCTCCCACGCGTTCCTTGCCTTTAACTATCCATTCTAAGCAATTCACGGAGTGGTCTTTCACATGGGGCAGCCGGTCTGCTTTACGGGCACACTTTTCTAATGAATAGATCTGTCGATCTGGGAATCGATCAATCGCCCACGTGTCTTTCGGTGAAATCGGAATCGCCGTACGGATATCTCGAATGGAACTCCCGATTCAACACGAGAGTGTCTTATGATCACGAACAAACGTAAGGGAGCGGGGGGAACAGGTTTTAAACAAAGATTTCAGTCTACGAGGATACAAGTCAGAGTTCCCTGAAAGAGTAATTATTCGAGGGATTCACGGTACGTTCATTAAATTGCAACTTTTTTTTTTCTTCGCGTAACAAACTTCAATGCCTGTTATTTCGATCCCTGTACATAAATTGAAATCACCCGATTAACCCCGTGTTATTTGATTGATTTTATTACCACCGATAAATCCGTTAAATTGAGAGCAACGATTACCCATATCGAAACGGATTCTGAAGATCTTGTGAATTGGTGATTACATCGTAATTGCATGTCGTGATACGAGGATCGCAAATGTAAACAGCGAATTATTTCTTCGTCGTTACGGGATAATTTCTGTGGGTAAATTGTTTCCATGGAATTAATACACATTCTCGAGCGGCTGAATATATCTATAACGTTTCCTTATTTTCGCTGTTGATGTATATTAAGTCGTGAGCATTAGTTTTAATTTGATTTTAATGATATTCATCGGTAAATGTGTCCCGATAAGTACCGTTCAGTTTGTTCGCCGCAACGTGTTTCACAATCCACGCAAATGTTTTGTGTTGCCCGCAATTAATTTTCAAACGACCTTTGAAACTGCCCCCCCCCCCCATTCATCGTTTGATTGCGGAAAACACGGTTCATACTATGTATTAACGATCGCGCCACGAATGCTCATTAATTTATTCACGGTGTTTTCATGAATCACCGACCTCGGGCTGTCCGTTGATGTCCAGATAGTAATATTAAGTGTATAAGTATTACAAACGGTTCATATATAAGCGTAAATATATAACTGAATGAATAAATTATGATTTTATCGGAATTTCAGTTTAGGTGATTACGGTTACAGCGATAATAAAAATGTATCGCTTCATTTCAACGAAATATTGGTAACTTATATTATTTTCAAGAAAATAATGTTTATTATCTAAATCACTAGATCTAACAACTATTAATAGTATTTTATAATATTATTTTATAATTTTTGTACGTCATAATTTAAACGGTTTTATAAACAGCATTTTTTATTCCGTGTTTCATAGCAATAAGTATTCCTTGACTAACGAAAGAGAGTGTGTACGAACCGCAACAAGACAAAGGCATGAATATTGATACAAACAATTGCAAACTATTAAAAGAAAAACTTTTTTCACGTGTTAAAAAAAGGAAAAAAATTTAAATGCATGGAGCAGTACCGTTTCTTATGTTTCAGTAGAGAGAATTTCTGAATAATGTTCTTCGGAATACATGGGTCGCATACCAATTGCGCAACACTATTGGCGACTGTCGCATAATAAAACGATGGGTGGATCTAACGATGCTTGTAAAGCCGAAAATATTACAAATAAATTCATAAATCACGGCATGCTAATGCGTCGTAGCCTGTCTGATGAAACAAGTGTCTTGCTGATCGCATGGGTGTAGACTTACACGTGTGTAGGGGCTTGCGCATAGAAACGACTAAATCATTTTCACCAGCGTTCTATTATCTTAAAATGTTTATGTATAAATATGTCAATCATAGTTGTAATTGAAACTTTTCGTTTAATCATAAAGTGGCTGAGAAGACGTATTTTTATAATTCATTTATCTAATATAACTTATTTTGTTGTATGAAAACTACAACTTACGTATCTACCTGTGAAAGATAAAGACACGAGTGTAGCAAGAATTATTCACATATCGGACACAAATAAGATTTCACTTGTAGGTGAACTAAAGTTCGAAAGAAAAAGCAGAACACGATCAAGCTTCGACACAATTTCTTTCCTGAGCCAGACACGCACTTTCCTCGACAAACCTCCGAATCGTGTCGAGCCGATCGTAAAGTAATTTGTAGATAAATTCCACGCGTAGACCGACGGTAACCGATTCGCACGTACGAGCTCCTAAACGGAATTGCTGGAAAGCATGTGGGCGCCTCCATCGAATATACATACATATGTATGCGCGAACTGGTTTCTCCGCCAACGACACACAACGTAGAATTTCGTTTTCATGGATCCCCGTGAATGAGAACGCGTTTACGGGCTCTCATTCGAGGCCTTCCACGTGAAGCTCGTATGTATTTTCGGAACGTCTCCCAGGGATCCGTCTCGTTTGTCCGATAATTATACGAATTTTGACGCCCCGACATGGAGATCGTCGATTCGGATATACGCAGCAGTTCTGACCGTCACGACAAAGAATGCGAATTCCTGGGGAAAATAAACGCTTCTTCCCCGTTCGGACGATGTTCTCACCAGGAGGGAGACACGCCGTTATCGCTAACACGATGATCAATACGCATAATACGCGGCAAGTTAACGATTACTTCTCTCAACATCCATAAATTTCAACCGAATGTTGCAGTTATGACATTTTAATCCCGTGCGACATTGTGACGTTCCGGTTTTATGTCGGTGTTAGAGAGTTAACAACGTGATAAAAACCGTGGTCATGTGAAATTCAGTGGAATGTGTCGCAGAATTTTTTTCTGGCAATCATGACCTTGACGTGGGATTTGTACAAGTATATTACTGTTCGTGAGTACTAACGTGAACTCCAAATCATATAAGATGTTAGGTCTATTCTTATATCTCGTCTGTGGTACTAAGACACCCAATCTGTATGGAGAAGATGTGATTTTTTCGTGAAAATTATATAACTTAGACCACTTTTATTATTTCGTAGTAGTATAAGCGTTGCCCATCGAAAATAAAATATCCTTTGAATAATATTTATTTCAGACTTTCAGCTATTTCGTAATACTTCGTAACATTTACTGCATATTCGATACGTGTCCTAATGCATGGTATATACATAATTGAAGTAGACACAGATTGCATGGTACAGTAAACACGCTGATAATGCTTCACGACTTATGTAAGAGGTAAAATTATTCGTGGAAGTGTCAGCCGAAGATTAATAAATGTTAAAGTCGGAAAGGCTAATCGTAATTTATGTTTACAGAAACTGTATTTATCGCTAGAACTACCAAACAAGTCAAAATGACTTGTCGATATGCTTTTATAATGATGATTGAAATGTTACAACAATACATTTTTTCAGATCTTTTGCAACTCTTATTACGATATGAAAGTGGAGTCCTCGTGTTTAAGTACAAATTGTGAAATAATGAATAGAGCTAAAGACCTGGAATTGGTCTCATTTTAAAGGGTGTACTTTTTTCTACGCGAATCACTTAAAATCTCCACGAACTAAGTCACGTATTGATTATTGATGGTTTATAAAAAATTATTCCAATAAAGTAATTATGAGGAAGGAAGAGGCGCAAAGTCGCAACAATATGTTTATTTCAACGTATTATAAAGAAATGCTCATAAAAGTGGCAAATTTCGATAGTTGCTATTATTGAATGATGCATTCCGAGGCAATGCCATTATAAAATCTGTGAAACGGAAGCATTAACAAAATTGCTTTTCAATACTTTATCCGACTCTTTAAGAGTTTAAACTAATCATTGCGCGCATCTGTCCCGGAAAAACCGTCGCTCGCCTGGGCTTGACTTCCACGGCGTGCAAATTCGTTTTGTGACCGGTTTTTCGCCAATCCTTCTGTCTTAAATTTCCCCGCGTGTCGCGATTTCATTCTCCGATCGTTCTTTTCTGATTCAGTGTTATCTGGATTTCGCTAATTGACCGTGGCAAATAAGAATTCTCCTCGCTCGAGCGGACCGTTCCGGTCCGTTCACGATTTCTTTTAGCGACGGAAACCAATGGAGTGAAGAGGAGGGGGCGGAGATCGTGCACGGGC